CTTTTATCAGTCCAGCCATTTCTTGCTTTTAAACTAAACAATCTTAAAGTTGCTGATAATCTTGTAAACATACTGCATCCTGGGTACAATGGTTGCTCAAAATCAGACTTTAAGGTATCATACACATGTGCTCTTTCAAAATTTTCTTCACTAACATCACGTATCATCTCTTCTAAATTATCGTCCATCCCTTCAAAATTTTTAGTTGTTGACACTGTTGGAATGTCTAATATTTCTTCGTGCCATGTCCATATTGTATAACTCTTCACAATACCAAATATAAATAGGTGATCACGTATTTCCCCAACTTCCTGACGTATCTGATTCAAACAACGAACGCATGGACAATAATATGCCCCTTTGATGGATTTTCCATTTTCTCTTGCAAATTGCAAGAACTCTTCAACTCCATTTCTGTATTCTTGACTAATGCGATGTGCATTCATCCAACTTCGATTCATTATCTATATATTAACACAAATTAACTATTGACTCAGTTATTCATAATTATTCTAACCTAAACTACAACCCTAAAAAATCGATAGTAATTTCAGATAAAATTGATAAATACTTCTACTAATACGATGCTAAATTAAAGGTTAATGCCTATTTGGTCCCTCTTAATAATTAAATTCTCCTTCTTTAATGCATCTGGAACGGCCCGTTCTGAAACCAGAACGGGCTGTTTCAGATGGACAATTAACACAAAATTAATGCATCTGGAACGGCCTGTTCTAAAACCAGAACGGTCCGTTCCAGATGCATTAATTTTGTGTTAATTGTCCATCTAGAACAATCATTTCCAAACCGGAACGGCCCGTTCCATATGAACAATTAACAAACAATAACTGCAAGCAGAACGAGCCGTTCTGAACGGGCCGTTCCAGATGAAAAATGAACAAATTAGCTAATGCAAGTCAGGATTTTTGAAACTAACCTCAAATGTTTAGGCCTAATGCGAAACTGAGGTGCAAAAGAGAACTAAGGTGCGCAGAAGAGAACATGCAGGTGAGAAACTTAGATTCTTTACTATTTGTTGACAAATCAACTAAGGCGCGCGCGGGAAGAGAATGAAAAGGTTGGGATATAAATACTCTTTTACGTTGGCCTTGTTTGGTCCGACATAAATTATACAATCTACATCGGACACAATGGAAGTCCGACGTAGATTGTATAATTTATGTCGGACTCTACCAAGTCCGACGTAAAAGAGTTCACTATTAATTACAAAAATGCCACCGCATCTTTTTTACGTCGTATTTTGATATCTCTAACGTAAAAGAAGTGATGTAATAACCTTATTTTCCACTAGTGAGGCTAACCGACTTCTTTTGACTCTTTTGGGTTGGACCCTTGGAATAATTCTATCACCAATTTTATGGTGTGAGAACTTGAGTGCAATAACACTAGCTTTCAAGCCCAGTGTTACATGTTAGATCTAATTACATAGAGGTTGATATTTCCTACATTAGAGATCAAGTCTTGCATAACAATATCAACATTGCATTTGTTCCTTCAACTGACCAAATAGTTGATTGTCTAACCAAGAACCTTACACATTCCAGGTTCACCCAATTCATAGACAAACTCGAAGTGATCTCAATGCCCTCTCATTTGACGAGGACAATATTAAGGAATAAGAGAACATCAAGTTCTAATAGATTTATTCCCTTATTTCTTATTTTTAGAATAAACAAAAATTATAGTTTGTAACTAAATATTATTCAATAGATGTTACATATCCTTTGATTCTAGAAAAACATTCCATAAACTTAATATATTCGTTATTACAATTATGTGTATAAAGGTACCATGTACCATTCCAATTGAATGTACAATTAGATTTCTTTCTATTTATTTTCTTACTATTTAGTCTCGTTATCTGTGTATCAATGTTACAACTTTTAAGTTTTTTGACATCATTAAGTTCACTGCATGATGAATATTCTTTACTTTGTCTTGTTTAATTGCCATAGTTTTATCTTTAAAAGATGACTTGGCAAATTAGGGAACGAGAATTTATAAATTATTCTTAATCTCAACTTTTGAATAATTTGAGTTACGGATAAAAACACTATTAATTTTTGTTACAATTGATCTTAATTATTCTACCAATTTTCAGGTATGAAGTTCGATTAGGATAGATTAAAAAAAATCTATTTGTCTATGTCTTCAGTTAATTTTAAAGACCATTAATTTTATTGTTTTGCCCATTCTAAAGTTTGTTCTAGTCAGTATCAATAGTTTTCACTATACCACAAGGAAAATGAGAATATAATATTGTCCATTTTGTGTACACCCCACATCATTGGTTCCGGTTTAAATACAGTCGCGTTCCACTTACAGTCACGGTCAAAAGATTGAAATTCACATCTTATTGGATTCAAAGAACCAGTAGAATGACTAGTATTATATTTTACACGTTACACGCCAAGCTTAAAAAATCCAACGTTGATTCAAGAAATTATTAATTAGCAGAAAAATGGGACTTCCGTTTAAAATTAATAAAAAAAAAATAATGAGAATAACTAAGGATCGAGAAAAAGTCCACGGTGACAAATAATTTTTTATTGATCCACATGTATAACGAAACAAGTGCAATTTATTCGATCACTAAACAAAATGAAACCACGTATACCCTACATGTGTATGACAAACTGAATATAGAAAATCCAACACAGAAATCGAAAAAACCAATCATAATAATAATAATAAAAAAAAATGGGTCTTCTAGAAGAATGTGTTTACTAGGAGCGTGATGATGAGAAGAGAGAAAGTTGCAACGTGGGTTGAAGCTGATCCGGGCGAAGGAGGAGGAGGAGTGGTGGAACCTGGCTCAGTGGGTGTGGATTGAGGTGGTGGGGTTTCTTGGGTGGTTCCAGAAGGAGGAGAAGCTTGTGATGGAGATGGTGCGGGTGACGGCGACGACGAGGGTGTGCCCCCGGTGACGTTAACACTCAGCTTTTGGCCGCTGTTGCAGTGGCCTTGGACAGTGCATGCGAAATAGAACTCCCCAGTGCGGTTGAGCGTGATTCTCGCTGGTGATGTCGTTATCACTTCGTTGGTCTCATTTACGTTGCAACCGTCGAAGCTTGCCTTGTCCTTTAGTTCTGCCACCGTGTGGCTTGCCGTGAATCTGAACACTGCAATCCCAGGGTACCACCAAAGATTATTTCGTAATTGAACAAAATTCAATACAACAGTAAATTGTATTTATACTATTCTATTGAATATCTAATATGATAAAAAAAAAAAAGTTGAATTGTAAAGAGAAAAATCATATATAAAAATGAAACATGTAACTCAATAATAAAACATCTCAATTTAAGAAACTAATATCCAAAATTAAATAATTTTTTTTATCTATTGTTATAAATATGTTTCTTGTATATATAGAATGAGACAAAGTTTGACTTTTGCTTTAAAGAATATTTTTAAAATATATGAATGTTAAGATAATAATAATAATAATAATAATTATTATTATTATTAATTATTTAATATAAGGGGTTTAAGTTGATAGCGTGGGATGTGTAACTTTTTTTTTACATGTATATCAATTTTTTTAGTATTATAATATTGACATGATTATTTATTATCTAAATATACTGAGTTTGTTCATGAATAAAAAAAAGAATAATGATTTAATGTGCTAATAATAAAATTAAAACAAAGTATTTAGTTTAAAATGATTAATGTAAATGTTATAGTTAAACTTGATGAAATGAGTTCTTGAAAAAAAAAAAAAAAAGACTTTATGAAATGAATCAAGAAAATCTTATAAAAAAGTTATAATAAGCTACCTCAACAAATTCAAATAAACTCCTTCGAAAATGTCTCCTAATAACTTATTGATCTGTAGGTTCTAATTAAAACTGATGGTTGGTGATCCTGACTGAAATCAAAATAATTAATTCAATACGCTTATGAAAAAGCTATTATATATAATGCACTTTATTTTTTTTTATATGTTTAAAATAAGTTTTGTATAGATTTTTCCAAACGTCCCTATTTAGTTTTCCTTTTTAATGTAGCATTTAAAATGTCACTACCTAATTAAATAAATAAAATGACGTGACCCAATTAAAGTTTTGGGTTTTCATGTTTGGTTTAAGGGGCAAGTTAAGGAGTTAAGGTTGTACATATGATGGTAATGGTACTGACCTAGGATGTCTCCTTCTCTGAATGTGATATTGGAAGCCCAGTTGGAGTAGAATGAAGCTCCACCAGAAGGAGAATTTATCCAACCAGTGCTATCTCCTACTGTGTATTCTGCTGCTTCCGTGCTTTTTAGAATTGTTGCAGCAACTGCAATTGTTAGAAGAATTGCCATATTATGTAACAGACCCATCTTCTTATTAACCTATGTGTATATCAGGTCGCCCCTCTTTGATGGATCTACCTTAGTTGCTTGATGTTTCTCAGAACAATTTCTTATTGAGAGTGCCTTATACTATGTTCCATATATAGAGGATAAAATCGCATTCCCTCTATTGTTAATACAAGACTTGATCACACACCATGACTAGGTTTTAATGTTTTTAATCAAAAAAGTTGTTGGGTCATACTTGGAGATAAAGTCAACACATGGAAATGGTCCAGAATTGGGTTTCTAAAATCTAAAATAAGAAGTATATACATTTGTCTCCGTTCTTTTTAACCACTTCTCCACCCACCCCATAAACAATTCCGCAAGTAAACCAACAGTTATATCTTTCGTTATAGATAGCAAAATAATAAGAATGGAATTACCTTTACTCCGTCATTGAAAGTGATCATTTAAACTTGCATTATTTCGCTTTCGACTTTTATTTTGAAATTTTATATTTTGAATTCGAATGAGAATTTAAATTTCAGATTCGGTCAAACGGAGTTTTATATGTCATGGTAGTTATCATATATATGAACAAGTTGTTTGGCCGCGTGTGAACCTAAGTAATAACTTCAAATGAAACTTCCTATTGTTGTTAGAATTTAATATATTGAATTAAAGAATGCCAGCAATGAAAGGAATTGAAAATCAAATGATTAAGGAGGGCTAGCTCAACCACGACGTGGTCTAGAAACCAGGACTCGATCTCAACATCAAGAAGGTTTGTTTGGCATGAGTAATATATAATATAAATTTAAATACTTCTTTTAATAAGAAAATTTGTTATATTAATATATAAGAAGTACAAGTCGTGCCATAGATACATATATAAAAAAGTTGATAGTTTTTCTACTGATTCACACCCTTCTAAATGCAACAGCAAAAAAATTATCATCAGTTAGAACCTTAACATATTCTTTATAGTTGAGCATATAAGAAGATTCTCTTGAACACTTATAGTTGAGCATATAAGAAGATTCTCTTGAACACTTTACATCATATAAAACTCATTATAAATCCATATGAAACCTCCACTCTTAAATCTTCACAAAGAAAAAAGAAAATTAAACATCCCACTGCATGAATATACAAACACTTGTACAACTTGCACACTATAGATAAGAATACAAGAATTGAGACAATCATGATTTAAGTCATCACCAAGATGAATGTGTATATTATATTTTGCAACAATTTCCTCCGATCAAAATCTCCGCCCCAAAACACATACTTGTTTCTTGTATTCCAAATAGACCACTTGATAGTCACACACAAATTTCCATACTTTGCTATTATTTATGTTGATTCCCATGTAGTTTCATGTTGCCAAAAGTATTGAATTGTTGATCCTTACAAAATAGTGTCTATATTTATCCAACCGTAACACATGTTCCAAATGTTAATCGCTTGAAAGACTTGTATAATTTGAGACATATTGAAAGCACATTAAAGGGGACAACTGTAACACCCCAATTTTCACAAGTTATATGAAGGCCCAAAGTCCAATAAAGGTGATTTAGTAGCCTAGAAAAGGTCATTCTCAAACTGGAACGGACCATTCCAAACTACTAAAAATGCTTATAAACCCTAGTTGGGAACGGGCCGTTCCCAACTAGAACGGAGCATTCCAAATCACCAAAAAGGCTTGTAACCCTAGTTGGGAACGGGCCATTCTGGTTTAAGAACAAACCGTTCTAGATGTGAATTTTACACATGATGAAAGGATCTAGAACGGGCCGTTCTGGCCACTCTTGATGTCTATAAATAGCATGCTCTAACACTCTCAAAAACACATTTTTTTACTTCTAACTCCTTTTTCTTCTATACTCTCTGAAGACCAAGGGGAACCCAGAGCTGGAGACCAACTAGATCCTTCTTTAGTTTCAGCTACTACTTATCGAGGTACGAGGGAAAATGAGAGATTTATGTGTAGAGTTACATGAGGAAATGAGTGGAGAAGAGTTCCTGTAGAATTTTTAATAATTTTATAATTGTTTCTGTTTGGAGAATTATTGTTATTGTGAGATTTTGTATGTGTTTAGGATTATGAATATATGCAAATAATTTGTAAAAAAGATGATCTAGGAGAGAGAACGAAATTGTAGAAAAGTTCTTGTGAGTTAGGTTTTGGAAAAATTGGGGGTTTTAATATTTGAGTTGAGATTCTATTAAATTGGTGATTCAATCGGGTTTTATATTAATTTATAAATGTTATTGTTATATTATTTGGTAAAAATTGATGATCTAGATGTGGATTCGTGATGAATTGCTTGAGGGGTATGTGAACTACTATTTTGTGTGGACTTATCTATTTTGTGTATGTGATGTGGAATTGAGTTATAGAATGTGTGGTGATGTCTTGGCACAAATGTATACATTATATCTACCGTTTTAGTATTGAATTGATAACATGATGTGGCGAATGATATGTTATGACTTAATTGTTCAATTAATTATGATGTGAGTATATTGACATGAAATGAGATGTGGTGTGGAATGTGAATGTGATATGATTGTGGTTCCTCACACTTATGTCGGGGATGGCACGACCTTGGGTAAGAGATGGTATAGGGGTAGCGTGACCTTGGCATAGTGTGAGATGTGTGATTCCTCACGCTTATGTCGGGGGTGGCACGACCTTGGGCAATAGATGCTACAGGGGTGGCGTGACCTTGGCATAGTGTGGGATGTGTGATTCCTCACGCTTATGTAGGGGTGGCACGACATTGGGCAAGAGATGCTATAGGGGTGGTGTGACCTTGGGCAAGAGATGCTACAGGGGTGGCGTGACCTTGGGCAAGAGATGCTACAGGGGTGGCGTGACCTTGGAATAGTGTTAACTACAAGATTTGTGATGGATTGGTGTGATTGTGAATTGTGATGTGAAGATGATGTATGATTGACAGAATTAGGATATATAGAAATGCTTGTAAATATTTCATTAAGTAATGAGTTATAATGAGATTATGTGGTATTTTTTCCTTGTGTGCTTTACATATAGATGTTCTCTTTTCTCATCATATAATTTATGGATGTTTTAGGTGAGGAAGATCCGGCTATGAGTGGCATCTAGAATGCCAACAGTTGAATTGTGGGTGTGTTATAATATTGTGACATCGGGACAGAGGATTTCTAGGACATGGAATTTTTATATGTAGTTGAAGTTGTACTTATTATTTTAAAAATAATTTGTAAACTCTTATGTTTTATTTTCTAATTTTTATTTTTCAATTATTTTGGATATTGAGGAACATTTATCAAGATTTTCACGTGAACCCTTTTACCAATGTTGAAAAATTTATTTCTTTAGTTTAAATACATTATTACAATATATGTGTTGGGGTAGTAAGGGTGTCACAACAACAACTTGGAGAGATTAAGACACCCTAAACTTGAGAGACCATTTATGAGGATAACTTTTGATGGAGGACCATCCCTGAAGGTGCATATGGGACCCATCACTAGGTCCATGGCTAGGGGAGTGGAGGATGATGGAGGAGAGGCTACCTTAGCTAAAGCCATGATCATAATGACTATTGAGTATTAATCTCTCCTAGGTCTTTAGTAGATTAGGGTTTATTATTTTGTATTTTCTATTTTGCCCTTGTAATTTTGGGCATCCTAGATGGTAGGTTTTATTTTGTTTATTAGCTAGGGTATTAATTTTGTTTAGGATTTGGAAAACCTAAGTCTAGACGTTTTTTTGGTTCTTAATGATGTAATACTTGAGCTTGGTAAGCTTTGGCCCAAGTAGAGGCACCTGGAGTACAAGATCTTATCATGCACCTAGAAGTAGCAAAACCAACCCCAAATATTCCATCCTTGGGCACCAAGTGGATGGAACCAATAGCTAGGTGGCATCTAGGTTACATTTGTGATACATTTCTTTCTCATTTAGCATGGAAATGCACACAAAAGTTTCCTTAGCTATCACCTATTCCTAGGCTAAAATTTTCTTTCCCT